GATCATACCACGAGGTTAAATACGTTTTTAATCATACCACGAAGTTAAATACGTTTTTAATCATACCACTAGGTTAAATACGTTTTTAATCACACCACTGCCATACTACTTATGTTTTCTTCGGTTTTCAAACATCAATTCATTGATCGATTAGACAGTTCGATTTTTTTTTTTTTTTTTGCTTTTTCAATTTTGTGGAAATCGATACAGCCGTGGGATAGCTGTTTTTTTTTTTTTTTTAGTAGAACAGGGACAATTAATTTAATAGAAAATACAGGCATGAAGCAAGGAGGCAGATATTGACCAAATGTGTATTCTTCTATAAAATAGGGGTTGGTGGTGGCTTGAACGTCATCTGCCCCTGGTCGTTACGTCTGTGAACCGTGGCTTGAATATCAGATGTTTGTATTGCTTGATCGTGTAATGTCTCGTGTCTCACGATACAAAAGCCCAAACAAATATATATATGTATACAATATAAATGGTCATATTTGTAAAATGAAACCATGACAGGAAATTTAGGTTTAAATAAAATACCATAAATTGTCATTTAATGAGAGAAAAAAAAAAGATAAAAGAGGAAATCAACTCAAAGAAACATTTTCTACTATTCAACCCAGTGGAAAAGAAGTCATGATATTTCAATGAATTTTACTTATAGCGCCATCTGGAAAAATCTCATTTTATTAATCTCTATTTTTCTATCAGTGTAGTACAATTTTCTTCGATATATTAATATTGTTTTAAAGATGTTAACAAATATTTCTGTTTCATAAAAACAAATTAGTGAATTTCTTCTTTGGTTTTAGTTACTGAATTCTATCCTACGAAATATTTATTTTAAACAGACGTTCAGCGAAAAAACTTTTTTGTATTTAACCACAAGGTTTTTAAAAAACTAGTCTTCGTCAGGCTGATATGAGAAAAGACGACGTAATAAAGTCATACAACTCTGGTCTTTCGTCTTCTCAAATTGATCTTGGTCAGATTTGATAGTGAACAGCCGCTGTTATATAAAATTGTGTATTAAAAGGTTTTCCTTTAAGTAGTAAGTTACACTTCTGTTTAACAGCGAAACCTAATGGTGAATGCTAAAGTAAAACGTTGTATGTGTGAAGTTGTTTAAAACTATGTTTATATTAAACCAACCATGCTACAGGTAAGCGTTGTATGTGTGAAGATGTTTAAAACTATGTTTATATTAAACTAACCATGCTAAAGTAAAGCGTTGTATGTGTGAAAATGTTTAAAACTATGTTTATATTAAACTAACCATGCTAAAGTAAAGCGTTGTATGTGTGAAGATGTTTAAAACTATGTTTATATTAAACCAACCATGCTAAAGTAAAAACCTTGTATGTGTGAAGATGTTTAAAACTACGTTTATATTAAACTAACCATAGCTAAAGTAAAACGTTGTATGTGTGAAGATGTTTAAAACTATGTTTATATTAAACTAACCATGCTAAAGTAAAACGTTGTATTTGTGAAGTGTTTAAAACTATGTTTATATTAAACTAACCATGCTAAAGTAAAACGTTGTATGTGTGAAGATGTTTAAAACTATGTTTATATTAAACTAACCATGCTAAAGTAAAACGTTGTATGTGTGAAGATGTTTAAAACTATGTTTATATTAAACTAACCATGCTAAAGTAAAACGTTGTATGTGTGAAGACGTTTAAAACTAAGTTTATGTCAAACTAACCATGCTAAAGTAAAACGTTGTATGTGTGAAGACGTTTAAAACTATGTTTATATTAAACTAACCATGCTAAAGTAAAACGTTGTATTTGTGAAGATGTTTAAAACTATGTTTATATTAAACTAAACGTACTACAGTCTATCTACCTGTAGTAGATTAAGCCCGCTTTATCGTTTTACAGGGCTTACAGATGTGTATGGGAGGGCTGGACCCCTCAGTCTACCTCACATCTCAGCCAGGCGACGCCCAGTTCAGTTTGCAGGTTCAGCGCCCATTCTCTTCCTCCCAAGGACTGGAGAAAGACTCAGTATCGCCCTATCACACGCCCTTCACGTCAACGGCAACTTTCCCTGTTAGAACCATGTTTGGACAAACAGAGACTTACCCTACCTTGCCGACCCACCTCATTCCAGCCTCTTCCCCCATGATGTCCCCCCCTGGTCTTGACAGGCAAGTGAGCTTCCTGAATACGGGAGCAGCAAGTACCTTTAGATCCCTGGGGGTTCCGAATGATCGCAGAGTTAATGGATTTCGTGGGTCTGCTTTTATCCCCACAAAATGTTTAAAACCCGACAGCTCTGATCTGTCATCGTCTCAAAGTTTGCAATATTCAAGGTATCAAAGTACTTCAACCTCGTCCTTTCTAACTCCCCCAACCAGCAGTAGCACCCCATCTCTAGCAGTGGGGTTATCGTCCCCCGTTCGGGTTAAAGAAGAATGTTCTACCGACACGCCGGCCATCTCTCCAGAAACCCACGACCGACTGACCGGAACTCCAACTTCTGAAAGTGAAGATCAGGCTGACCTCAAAACGGCCAATGGAAGTCAACCTCGTCAAAGTAAGAATTTAAAGTTATTTTAATTTCCTGAAGCGACCCTGTTAGTAAATATTACATAACCTATTCAACATACTGTTAATATACATATAACAAGCTGTGTGTGATCATACTGACATAGTTACTAGTGAAGTATAGTTAACAAATACACTTGATATTCAATGAATCAGTAGGATATACATATAACAAGCTGTGGGTGATCATACTGACATAGTTACGTATTGTGTTCATAGTTACTAGTGAATCAGAAGGTTATTCTTACTTAATATGATAGCCATGAGAGTAAGAAGAAATATAATGTGATCTCCAGGAGGTTAAAAGCCGTAACGTTCGCCAAAAGAAAACAAACAAAAAACTTAATTATCTCCAGGAGGTTAAAAGCCGTAACGTTCGCCAAAAGAAAACAAACAAAAAACTTAATTATCTCCAGGAGGTTAAAAGCTTGTTTGTTTTCTTTTGGCGAACGTTACCAAAACTTAATTATCTCCAGGAGGTTAAAAGCCGTAACGTTCACCAAAAGAAAACAAACAAAAAACTTAATTATCTCCAGGAGGTTAAAAGCTACAATTTTCGCCAAAAGAAAAAAAAACAAACCTTATTATCTCTGTGAGGTTACAAGCCGTAACGTACGCTAAAAAAAAATCTTATTTCTAGGAGGTTAAAAAACCTGTAACATTCGCCAAAAGAAAATGATCTTATTATCTCCAGGAGGTTAATGTCGCAACTTTCGCCAAAATTTGGTTGTTTGTAATTAAGCACAGAGCTACACAATGGGCTATCTATGACGTGCCCACCACGGGTTGTGATGGTGGGGGGAGAGGTTAAATATCTCAACAATAATGGCAAGTATCTTTTTGGTATTGTTTGCTTTAACTCCAACTTATAATGATTACTGTTTCTCATTTTCGTCTTCTATATTTTAATTACGACCTTATTTTTATTAACCAATCTTGTTCACAGTTTTCTCGCGAAACTGCTTCGCTTTACAGAAGACGTTTGGACAGAGTTTTTAATCAAATACGTGAAACCGGCCGGCTATTGTATCGTAATATATACGTATACCTATATAAGTTTTGTGTAAACTTGCACAAGGCCCATATACCTGCGCATAGCTGTCCCTAATTTTGAACTGACAGACTAGAGAGAAGGTAGCTAGTCAACACACACCGCCAACTCTTGGTCTACCTACTCTTGTCTGACCAAAGAGCAGGTTTCGATGGTCATTGTTATAAGGCACCCACATCTTCACAGTGCGGAGTTTGTAGCAACGGGACATGAACCATAACAATCTCCCGGATTCACAGTCCGAGTACGCTGACCACTAACTACGTTTGGCTCGTCATAATGTCCAAACCACTAAGAATAATGATGTTTAATAATGAAACCTCGGTAATATTTTACAGTCAAACTAATACTGATGAAGTAGGCTTAAAACTACATTTTAATTGTTCCATGCCAGAAATAAATTCGATCTGTTGCTTCAAAGCTGCTGTCAGTTTTAACAAGAACGTCGATGATTAATTAAAACCTACATTTTAATTGTTCCACGCCAGAAATAAATTCGATCTGTTGCTTCAAAGCTGCTGTTAGTTTTAACAAGAACGTCGATGATTAATTAAAACCTACATTTTAATTGTTCCACGCCAGAAATAAATTCGATCTGTTGCTTCAAAGCTGCTGTCAGTTTTAATAAGAACGTCGATGATTAATTAAAACCTACATTTTAATTGTTCCACGCCAGAAATAAATTCGATCTG